ATGATGACATTACAATGATGAACGAGCTCAACACATTTTCGATCGGCGTTTTGGTGGACTTGGAATTTGCCATTCTTCCTCCTCATGAAGAGGACTTCATGAGAAACCTCCTCGTCCAAATCCACTTGGGCGTCATAGCCTGTTTGTGGGTCTTTTTCCTCACTGTATCGGTGCCTTTTACAGCGGTAGCAAATTGTCGAACATTTCATTCCGTTCTTCCGACAAGTACAACCTCCTTTGCATCCTGTGTTGCAGCTTCAACATTCATAGTGACTGGAAGAATCCCATGCCTGGATAAGTTCCAGCCCCAATCAGTGGGATTCATCATCCTCCCGTTCCAAATATTAATTTGAAGGAAAGCCCTAAAGGAATATGCTTGGTTGCATCTTCAATGGGCGGGAGAGAAGAGAGGTTGAATTGGGTCTTAAAAAATATTAATAATATAGCTGGACTGCCCTTTTCCGTGTTTCAAGAAGTATATAGCGAATGACTTTGGAGCAAATGCAGTATAAGATGGTCAATCCCTACAATGATAACTCGTTTTGACTGTTGAGCTAGTTGGATGGCTTCCCTGTACCGTTTTCTTCTTTGTTGTTCGAAACCAAAGGTAAACCTCAAGAACAAAGGGTTGGTTGGCTCACATAATCAGACTTTGAGGTGTGGACAGTCAAAAAACCATTTTCATGGGATTTCAGAAAAAGTTGGAAAAAGTCACTTTTTTGACTTACCATTACCAACGCACAATTTTATGCTCTACAATTTATGACGGAATATTTTTTTCTGTAAAAGGAACGGTTTTGCAGTTATTTACAAAAAAACTGAAAAAAGTCCAAAATTTCGACGTTTTCGTGGTGCCACATTTGAAGTTAACTAGGAAAAATGGGACAAACTTCAAATCCCTTCATTTCGATGTAAAACAACGTGATTAAAATTATTCCCAGCTTTCCAGGAATGATTTCCAGGCAATTCCTATTTTTACTGGCCTATTAGATCTCTAGATGAATTAAGTAAACTTTAGGCAATATACTTAAAATAATTCCTTTAAAAGAAGTAGGGCGTTATAATAGAATTTTCAGAATCATTTTTTTCTTAATTTGTAGCTCCAATAATTTTCTGTTTTCACGTTATTAAGTTATAATTTGACGCTGATTATCTATTCCATTGAAATTGTTACGAGTTTATGGAGAATTATGCACTTGCACGAAATACAACAATTTCTTTGAAATTTTAATCGTCTTAGAAATTTTTCAGTTATTCATAACTTTTCAAGATAAATACCACTTTTTAAACAGCTGTTCATAAGGCTTTTGTGCCGCTTTACGATATACACTGAATTTAAGCACCTTTACCTTGTAATCTGTGAGTAGTGTAGTATCTCGAAAATCATCAAGTGGGTATGTTATGAAAAATAGGTTTTGAACATTCCAAGTTATAACCCCTGCATCTAATAAAGCAAGAATGTTTGTATACAGGGTGTTTCTAAAATAGGGTTCCAAACTTCTGTTGCGTTTATAACTCATTAAAATAAGCCAAAAAGTCCCTATTAACATGTGCCCTAAAACGCACCCTTAGGAAGTTATATGCCCTTAAAAGGGCTCAAACATATACTTAAATTTTCCACTCACCAGTTTTACTAATTAAACACTGCAAAGCTCAATTGACAGTTTATCAATAACTTAAATTGTTAAGCGTTGTGGCAACGTCAGTCTTTTATTTGCCATGGTAAACAGATTTTTGTAATTTTTGGCCTAA